AAAAAAAAAAAAAAAAGGATGTCCCAAAACTTGAAACATCCCTCCCAAGCCTGTGCCTCTGGGCGGCCACTGCTGCCTCCAGTCACAGGAACTCCCCACTGGCCCCAGCATTCCTATCTAAGTCACTCCGGAGGATGTGTGGCATTTCTTCCACTGTCCCCTCCCCTCCATATTCAATGCCACCCTGGCCTGATGTCATTTCTCACCCGGACCTCCCTGACTCCAGCCTCACCCTCTCCAGCCCATCTTCCTGTCATGGCCTGGAAGTGCAGAAACCCTCCATGGTTCCCTAGACCTCCAGGATAAAGTCCACACCTCTTACCTTGGCTTCCAAACCCTCCATGACTGGCCTGTCAGCTTCATCCCCCTTTTCACCTCCTTCATAGGCCCCACCTTGAAGCCAAACGGCTTTTCCCCACCACAGCTCACCTTCCGGTGTTGGTGTTATTCTACACCGCCCTTCCCTTCCCTCCTCTGCCTCACCCACACCTGCCCACCCATCAGGATTGCCCAGGGCCACCCCTCTTCCAGGAAGCTTCCCTCTTCTGAAACCCCATGGTCTTATCTGTCTTGCTCTCCACTTGGCCTTGGCCATTTCTCTGCATGCTGACCTCCCTGCCGGGAGTAAAAGCAGGAGCTGTTGCCCTTTAGACTGAAATCCCTGAATCTGGAGCAGAGTTTGGCACACAGTAGGGCTTCCAAACCTTGGGCTCCCCAAGCAGTGACTTTCTCCGCCTTAGCCCTCAGCAGACTTCCTCTCAGACAATTGACAGTCAAGGGGGACCACCTGAATGTGACACTTATTGGGGCCTTCAGCATCATTTACGAAGTTCTGTCCTAAAGGACATTCTCCCAAATGATCCCCATGAGAATGGGAGAGGGAGTTTGTCCTGGTGCCTGAGCGTGGCTGGGAAGACAAAGGGATGGGCCCTCGGGTGTAGGGACTCCCTGGGGTTAGAGCAAGGAGGGTCTCAGAGAGTGGCTGTCCTGGCTTCCCAGATGAGGAGATGGGCACTAGGAAAGAATAAGTTTGTCCAGGGTCCCCAGAGGGTCAGGTCTGAGCAGGCCTGGCTGGGCTTTTCCTCCCCCACCTTGGGGACCCTGTGCTCCAGACAGAAGGGCAGTGACCATGTGGCTCCTGGATCTGGGGTAGGCTTTATTCAACACCAGTAAGTTCACCCATTCAGGCAACCACCTGGCCCCTTGCACCTAAGCTGTGACAGATACTGGGATAAGGAATCGGTGGATAAATCGGGGCGCTCAAGCTTAATTGGAGAGATAAGGAAAGCACACACAGAACACAAGCTAAAGCAAGGTGGGGAGCCTGCCATGAGAGGTGCATAGTGACCTGGGTGCTCAGAGGACACCAGGATTTGGGGGTGTGAGAAAGGAGGGGATCTTGGAGGCCAGGAGCCTGCAGAGGGGTGGCAGGTTCGAGGGGATGAGCCAGGCAGTCCTCTAGCTGGCCCCACCCCTCTCCCTTTCCTGAAGCCCACCTTCAAACCCTCAGTGCTCAGGGAGAAGGCGCGTGCTGACATTTGTTACATGCCTGCCGCGTGCTGTGTTACTATCATCACAAAAATATCATCACCTTCGGGGAGCCCTTGTGTGTGTCAGGCCCTGTGCTGAGATATGAATGATCTCCCTGAAGACTCACAGCAAACCTCAGAGCGGGACCTACTGTTATTCCCGCTCTGCAGATGAGTGAGCTCCAGCTAAGGAGGCTACGGACTCTCCCAAGGTCACACAGCTGGGGCATCCTGGAACTTGACTCAACCCGCCTCTGTCTGACACAGAACGTGGGGTGCTTCCAGCAACTCGTGCAATAGCTGGAGACCAGGGTCTGCCTGTCTGGGTGAGGGCCCTGGGTGGCATCAGAAATGTCTTCTGCAGAGAGAAGGATCTGCATCCCATCCAGCTTCGTGGGGAAGGGTGGAGAGCGCAGAGGTGTGTGGAGGGGTGGGCAGTGACTCCCTCTGGCCTATCAGCTTCCTGGTCTGAGTAGGGCCCATCCTATGTGTTGTCAGGTGAGGACTGGAAGCCAGCCAGCTCGGAGCAGTAGAGGGAGCACTGGGTTCAGAGTAGGAGAGCCCTGGACTTCCAGCTAATCACAGTTCTGCTTCTTTTATGCTCCATGACCCTGAACAGGTTACTGGCCTTCTGGGCCTTACTTGCTCATCCATAAAATGGGAGTGATAATATCTATCTGCCAAGGTTGCTAGGAAGCCTCAAGTAAGATGATTTAGGGAGCACTGGGCACACAGATAAATAGAAACCAGAAAACCCTCCCTCTCTCTGCTTGGATGGAATCCAATGGAGCCAGGACAGAGAATACTGAGTATGGTCCCTCCTGGGCTGTGCGTTCCCAGCTCAGGGAAGCTTTTGATCAAGTGGGACTTGGTTGACCTGGACAAGGTCCCAACCCAGGGCCGACTGGTCTGAGGCCGCTCAGCCTCTGCTGCTGGGCCGTGGTGGGCGGGTGGGTCTCATATCCCCAAATGAATGACCGTGACCTCCTCAAGGGCATCTCAGATTCAACCATCATTTATTTAGCATCAGTTCTGTGCCAGGCCCATTCATACTTGTTATCACCATGCCAACCAGGAAAAGTAGGACTATTGGTCTTATTTTATAGATAAGGAAACAGATTCAGAGAGGTTAGTCACACGGCCTGCAGTCACACAGCCGGCAAGGGCAGAGACTGGGGAGGAAAGCAGCTCTGGGTAACTCCCAAGTCCGAAGCCCCCCTCCACTGTACCACATGGCCTCTCTGGCCCCTTGTCCCCAGTCTCCATGGGGGCACCTGATGGGGGTTCAGTGAGGACTTTAGTGAAAGGCTGGTGGAGACCCAGGCAGGATCCTTAGCTTCCCCATTGGCAATGTGATGCCATTGGCCTAGCCAGCATCTAGCACCTCTTTCCACCCTGGCATCTGGAGCACTGACTATGCTGACGGAATGCAGAAAGGGTCTTGAACTGCCCTCCAAATCTCTGCCCACCTTAGGATTCCAAGGGGTGACCCCCGCTGTGCCTAGCATCCCAGGGCAGAGTACCCTTTGGGACACGTTCCCCGAGACTCTGGGGGTCAGATGCTGGTGCTGGCCCTAAGGGGGTTTCCTGGGCACCTCCCACATGCAGCCCCCCTTGCTGCCGAGGCCCACGGTGCCCACTCACATTGGATATACCAGGCCCTCCAGATGGCGTTGTTGAGACGGATCTTGTCCCGGCAGAGCAGCTTGAGGCCTTTGAAGTTCTTCCACTTGGGAGACACCAGCTTGCCACTGTCAGAGGGAGAGGGCTGGGTCAGGCGGTTGGACAAGGGGCAGCTCAGGGAGGCCTCCTGCAGGGCTGGCTCCCCACTCTTCCCATGCGCTGGTTACTCATCCATGCTGGGCAAGCTGAGGACTCCCCTGCAACCCCGCAAATCCTGCCCCTCACTCTGCCTGAAACCCCTACACTGAGAGCCAGGCCTTTAAAAAACCCTCCCAGGTCCCTGCTCCAGGCTGAGCTGCTCGTTAAGCTACCACCAGAACTAAAACCAGGCTGAAACCTGTTTGTCAGCTCCTTCCTCAGGACAATAATACCATGGCCTCATGGGCGTCCTTTTCTGAGGCTGGCTAGGGAGGGTTCTCAGAGCCATTTCTTACAGAGGGAAACTGAGTGCCTGGGAGGGAAAGGGACATGCCTAAGGTCACATGGTGGAGACTGATTCAGGCCCTGTGGCCTTTTCTCCACCAGTTTCACTGGCCCTCTTCGGCCTCCTCCGGGGATGGGTAAGGTGTGCCTGGGTGAGGAGAGAATCTCTTCACTACCAGTGGCTTCCAAGCAGCCAGCCGTTGCCTTTTCCCGGCCCTTCTGGCGTCTGCCCACTCCAGAATCCCAGGATGGCAATCTGGACTGAGCTGGATGGGGTGCACCCCTTCTTAGGGGCGTGTGCAAAACAACAGCCATCAGGCCCCAAAGGAAGGCAGCTGGGATGGTGGAGTGGTGGGCAGTGGAGAGGCAGCACCCTTACCCCAGCCCTCACCCTGACCCTAATCCTAGCAGTCAATGAAATCCACTCTCGCAATGACTCTCCAGGTCAAGATGTGCTAGGCACAGGCCAGTCTGCTACCGCTAAGGATCTGACCTAGGAGGTCAAGATGCTCAGAGTCTAGACCCCCACTGATCCCTCCCTCCTCCCTCCCTCCTCGTGGTCCACAAGCCAGGGCTGTATACGAGTCCCCTCTGGCCCATCTCCTCCAACCCTTGCTCACATGGAAGGCTGAGGCCTGGGGGACACCAGGCCTACCTTCTCCCAAGGCTTCTCCCTCATCGTGGGGGTGATGGGTGGGTGGGTGGCAATCTGACTCCTACAGCCCCTGAAACGCATGGGTCACCAGGTCTCTTCTCCTCTCTGGTCTCCAAGCTCCTGTGTTTGTTTTGGGGTATGGAGTGGGAAGAGCTGCCACCCCAGGGTACCACAGGCCTCATTACCCAAATAGAGTACATAGCCCATGCCTGCTGGCTGGCCCTCTCCCTCCTAAGTTAGATAAACACCATCTGTCTCGAAGGGAGACTTGGGTGGGGTGCACTGATACCTCCTGGGCCAGCTTCTTTGGCACCTGGGGGGACTCCTGAGTTTGTTGCTTCTGCCTGTATCCCAGCAACCTCCCCACCCACTCTGATCACTCAGTGTCCCACGCCCAGCCTGCCTCCCCTCCCTCCCTGTCCTTGCCGAGGTTCTGGGGTTTGTGGCCAGGAAGGGCTCAGGGAGATGAGACAGTGACAACATACAAGCCCAGAAGGAAAGGATTTGGTCTGTGCTGGGCTTGTTGGCTGGGAGGGGAGGAGAGGGGCTCAGCCCAGAGGAAAAAGCCCATGACCAGGGCTCAAAGGCTTCTTCTGACCAATAGAAAATCTGGGAATCTCAGGGATGGGTGGGAGAAAACCTAGAACTCTTAGTTCAGCACCGCTCCCCCTTCATGAGTCCAAGCTCCCTTATAGGAACTCCCTGAGAGTCTCTCTGACAGGGTCCTGCCTCGGGTCTACATGCCCGGGGCCATTTTTCCACAGCTAGCCAGCTCTGGCCACAAACAAGTGTTTTCTTGGAACTTCCAGACCCTGTCTCCCTGGGGCTTCCACCCACAGAACCACGGAATATGCACCTCCTCCTAGGAGAGAAGTCCTCCCTCTGCCCGCAATGCCCTGCTGAGGATGAAAGCTGGCCAGGCACCCACAGGCTGTCCTCTGGGCCAAGCACCTGGGGACCCCTTGCCTTGCTGTCCCTTGCCATCCAGTCACTCTCTCAGGGCATCCTGGCTTCTCTAGTCCACTCCTCTCCGGGGGACCCCTATAATTAGGGGTATTCAAGGGCTAAAACACTGTCCCAGTTTGAGCCTCAGATTTTTTTCTCTACCAAACAGGGGAAGCCAAAGGCTCCTGTAGTACTGAGTCACCTCCATCCATGGCTCTTAGGCCCCCACAGAGACCAAATATGCTGGGTATTTAGGGGAAAAGAACAGCCCTTTCCTCCCCAGCTGCCCTGGGTCACATCAGATTCTAGTCCAGCCTCTTAGTGGGAGCAGTTTTTGGAGTGTGCTCTGCTCCTGACCTTGCCCCCTCCCCTGAACCTCCTTTTTTGGTC